AAACAGTTTAAATTTTAATTGAGTGTTTATTGAAGTCTATCCTTTAAAAAAACTGAACCATCATATACGATTGAGCGACGGCACGCAACAATTCATATTAAGAAAAATTATCATTGGTTATTATACTATGGTTCTTTTCCGATTTGAATTTTAAATTATTATAACTTTAATCAATTAGAAGTATTAAAAATATGAATTATAATTTATAATTTATATAGTTGAATTTATCCATCCTCTAAAGTTCAGACACTAAAGATAACGAGTTATTTTTAGTTTATTTTTTTAGTTTGTATCACATAATTTATCATATATAGACGTTACAAATGCAATATTTATTAAAAGTTTTTGTTGTTGTTGTTATTGAGTTAAAATGATTAATAGGTATATAATACTAAATCGGATTCAAAAAATAGTTTTTAATTTTTATTTTTTAATAAAAATCATGTTCACTATAGATTACAATTAGTTTTTATTTTATATGTCATGATTATTGTAATATTATTTGTATTTTTTTTTAACAGTTTTATTGTATATAGTTTTTATATTTATAAATTTTAAATAATAGTCCTAATTGTACACATTTATTATTTATATTGTGGACCATGTGATATAAAACAGTATTTAAAATGTTAATACTTAACAGTCTATTCATAAATATTAATATCTTACCTGCTGGAGACGTAACAAACTCTACAAATAAATCTTCACTAGTACCAACAATTGAATGTGGGAATTTTCCCATACCACAAAATGTTCCAATCTCTGGACTTGAAGCATTTTTACCATCATATATTTTAATATAATCATATGGACAATATTCTGCTCCTAAAATATACACATTTTCATTATAGATCTTTAAATATGATTATTATTACAGTAATTTTAAAGTATCATCCCTGTTAAATCTCTAATCTTATTAAATACTATAGAAAAATTGATGAAGATTTATAAATAATTCAATAGATTGTCGTCAATATTCGTGAAAGTTATAAGTTATGAGGTTATATGACATATTACCAACATTACACTCTAATAAAATAAAAATAACCTAAATAAAATGGCTTATGATTCATCAGCATTCAATTCTTAAATCATGTATTACTAAATTACTTTACACTTGATGTTAAGTATTTTAATTATTTAATACTATATGCAAAATTATTTCAGTTTTCGTTCCTATAAATAAATTACTTACTCACATAATCAAAAAATTATATATTTAGGGTACCATTTATGTTTAATATCAGTTAAAATAAATTACTAAAGCTGCATGAAGCAATTGGCTATCAACTTATCTCATATATTCTCTTTCATTTATAGATTGTAAGATCTATCTAGGTTGACTAATGGCCTAGCCAGGAAAAAACTATCAGCCTTATTTATAACGTATAGGCTTCGAATTCTATTTCATAAGTACACTTGTATCATTCAAAATTGTTTGATATTGTTCTGTCAAATGTTAGCAATTAAACTCATTAGACTAACTTTTAATTTTGATTACGCGAGTTATTATTTTTTGGACTGTTATTTTTATTATTACCTATAACTTATCACTAAACAAACAGGTTATTAATATTAATTATACAAACAATTGTTATAACACAACGCAATTTTTATGAAAATTTTAACTGTAAAATTTGACTAAGCCATGTTTTGCTAATATAAAAAGCTAAAATATTTTGGCATCCTTTTTCACAATTATATAATGTTTGTATAGTAAATTGTAGTTAAGATTTTGTTTTAGAAAATTGACAATTCGGCGTGTTGTATAGGCAAAATAATTACATAACTGTAAAGAGGTAATATTGTATATTTTTCTTTACAAATATAATACGAGTATAAATGGTAATGAAATATTTATAATAAAAATGTATTTTATTATTTATTCCCTTGTTATCAAAGATTTCTAATCGTTAAATATGAATTAACAATTTAGAAAATTATTTAATTTAAGTAGTTATTTTATGCTTTTATGAGTATTAAGTATAAAATGAAATATGCGTTTAAATGTATATAAACTAATGGTAAAATATTATATATGAAGCTAGTATAGTTGGATGAATATAATTATTTCTTTGTAATTATTGCTTGGCATAAAGACTGAACGAATAAGTAATAATTATCTAATGTTATAAATTTATTTATTTGTAATCTTTAACTTATTTGTATGCAATTATATATTTAGAATATAATGTATTATATTTCATTTGCATAGTATATGCTACTATAAAGTATACAAAAAAATAAAAATAAACGTTTACTGACAGAATGTTAAAAATAAAAAAAGTAATGGTAATAAGTGGATACCTACCGGAAGTGATTGGTCTCATTGGACATGTGATTATATTTTCACATCTCTGACCGTCAACATTGAATTCTTCGTTTTGTATATAGAGCTTAATAAACTGATTTTTAGTATTTAGCCAATAATTGCATTTCAGATTTCTCGGATACACCCCTGGATACGCCGGACTTTGAACATAGCATGTTTGTAGTCGACATTCTTTAAATGTCCTATCACAATAACTCCTGCAATTAATTTCAAAATTACATGACCGATTATAACAGTTGTTTGAAACAAAAAAAATATTAAATCCATAGTATTCACTCAATATTACTAATGGTTAGTGTACTTATCTACATATAATTATGATTAAAGTTGATAATAATTTTAAAAGACTTAATTTTTTTTAAAGAACCTAATATTTTAGATAGACATAATGAATATAAACTAACTAATACGAGCAGTAAATATTTTCACAAATATTCAAAAATACTTGTCGTTTGGATAAATATACTGTTTAATTTGTTTTCTTTGTTCAAATACTTATTTGTATATTTATTGTTATAAAATACTTATTTCTTATTGTTCTAACCCTGGATTTAGTAAGCCCCTTCTATTAGGGTAGAGTTCCGGATGCTGTCCATATCGTAAGTATACTTGAGTTTCTTGTTCTGCTCTCGAATCAAAACTATAATAAGTTTGATCTGTAAAGTTATTTGTCTGAAAAATAACTCGAACTGAACTCGTTTCTGATAAAAATGTTTGAGGTTGTTCAATTTCGCCACAGTACATTCCTGGTAATTCTTTTTTAGATGTAATTGTTGCTGCATTACCTTTTCCTGAATGATCAAGAATCTTAAATAAAAAAAATAAAAAATAAATTAAATTTCATGCAATTTCAAGTAAAGTAATCTAAGATTATTTCTTATACATTTAAGTTTTATTTTTAATATTAGATGGTATTGTAAATAATATATATATGTATTGTTGATAATTGATATTGTATTATTTTCCTTAAAGGCATATTTTAAATTTTAATATAATTATATCTTTAATAATAGTTTTTATAGGGTTGTTTTAGGAAAAATTATAATACGTGTATACTATATATACCATTATGTATAATATTATCTGCATCCAGAATTAAAAACATTGAAAAATTCACCTTGCAATTATATGGTGTAAATGATATTGGTGTAATTAGTGTGCTGTAGTGTAAAATTAATGATAATAATTATATAATTATATATTTTTAAAATAAAATACAAAAAACAAATAAAACTGTAAATTACAAAATCACAGAAGTTTGCCTAAAGATTGAAAAATAAAAGTAGAGGAACTAATTCCACTTGTCTTTTTTCTTTAATTATTTATTTCAAGTCTTATTTCAAGCATTGGTGATAATCAGAAGCTTATTTTTTATTTTTCTATGAATTGTATACTATTATTATTTGTAGAGCATATATATATATTATTAACATATATATATATTTAATAACTTATATTGCAAAGCGAATAAAAATTACATGAGAAATGTCATGAAGAACATGATTAATTTGAACAATTGAAGTAATTTGTTGTTTGTCTTATGTGACTATATCATACTGTGTTATAAATACAATTAATAAACATAAACTTTTTAACTAAACACATTTACAATGGAAATTGGAATCAAGAATAAGATAAGGAAACTATACACCAATTGAGTAGATTACGTTTACATTATTTATTTTGAAATGTCAGGGTTTTTTTAAGGTTTCGATTTAAGTCATGTGTAAACACTTCGCTACTTTGGAAACTCAACAAAAAAATGTACCATTTGAGTGAATTATTGTAGTCCTCGGGGGAGCCATAAAGTTCACAATTGTTGAAACTTAAAAGAAACTATCTGAAAATCAACTAGAGTTTACGAATTTTTTATTTTCTTATCATGATATGTTCAATAATTTATCTAAAGTATTTACGAATCGAAATTTTTTTCCTGTTATTCACAACATATTATTAACATAGAATACAAATAATGTGGCTTACATGTAATTATTTATTTTTAAAGAGAAATCAAATATCTTAAATTGTTACATGAGTATCGAAGGAAGTTAAAAATTAGCAACGTTAAGATTAGCAAAGATAATAAATTATATTTTTGAGTTGAAAACTGATATAATAATTTTTCCTAATAATTTAATACTCTTGTCTACATTGTTGTATATGTAATTGTTTAAATATAGGTGTGCAATTTTTCTAAAATAATGAAAATAATTTCTTGGATATACATATGTGCATATTTATGTATGTTTAAGGGTGAACAATTTTTTCTAGATGTTTTTTTTTTAATTTACTGTTTTTTGTACTGTACAATTTGTACATCATATTCGTAAGAAGATAAAATAATGTTGTTAGTAGCAAGTAGTAGTTATTGTAATATCACCATTCATCACGACCAATGGTTCAATGGAATTACTATGTACTAAAATATACATCTTATATATCTTAGTCCGTGGAAATTACTTATGTTATGACGTTCAAGGGACTGGAAAAAATTGGTCACAATAACTAATGTAATTATAGTTCATTACCACGAAATTGTTAATATCATTAAGAAATATAATGTACTACTCGTGTGCAATAGATATACTTATGTAAATATTTTTATTTAAAGCAACTTGAATTTAATAAACATCATAAAAAATTAAATAAATTTGAATTAGCTTATATTAAAACACTATTATTACTCAATCTTATAATATATTTCAAAATCTTTTCAAAATCTGCAACTTAGTGGGTATTAGTTTTTTTATTTAATTTAAATCATAAGAGATTTTATTTCCATTTTTTCTTTTAATACTTCTCATTAGTGTAAATATTGATGAGAAATATTTATTATTATTATATAACCAATGTTATAACTCGATAAAAACATTTTGTAAATTGTTATTTATCACAACTGGACTCAAAAAAATTATACGAGCAATATGAATATAATAATTGTACGTGTTATAAATAAAATTCTACAATAGATAAGATATAATTTTCTATTTAATTCATAGTAAACGAATCTACAATAATGTAAATCTTACATATGATCATTCAATTTTGAAAACCAACACAAGCTACAACCAAAATAAATTAGCATGATATACAAAATGGGAATTTTACCAGGAATATATTCAGTATTAAAAACTAACTTAAATATTTATTCGCGTGATATACCAATGTTTTAATATAAATAAATGTTACTGTATTTTTAATTGTGACGATTTACAATAATTCTATCGAATGAAGGAATATTATGGGCTTGTGTTGGTCACCCTGCTAAGTCGTTTCCGTAATCCACAGTGCGGCGAAGGCACTACGTATCTTAGTTCTAGTCGGTCAAGCTGCCGACAACGTTTGTTTTGTTTACTGGTCAAGTGAAATATGCTCTCACGATTTTAAACGTTTGTGATAGATTTTTAATTATTATTTAAATAGTAAATTGTGATTAACTAATATTAGTAAAAATTCCTGGTATTTTTTCATTTATTGTTCTGTGACGTCCTCGCCGTAAACATGGTGAGTCTTATTTACTATACTTATTAAGTCTGTTAACCTAGGTTCAATGTTTGAGAAAAATATCTCATGTTAAGTATCTACCTACATAATAATCCAATGGCGAGATTTGTAATATAATGCTTGTATTTAATCATTTTTTAAAAGTATTTCATATTTTTATGTTGAGTTAATTTAGTTTATATTTAACGATACCGTGCGATGGAATGGTCTGGTAAATATCTATTGGGAGTTCGGTAGATTTACTAGCAAACGTGTCTGTATTTCGGCCAGATTCAACACTTTATGAACTAATTAGCTTAGACTGAACTCAAAATAATAATCTTTGATTTGTTGTGTTTACTTAAATTTTAATCAACAAAGTAATTGACTCTAGAACTAAACCTAATTTAAATTAATAAGGTTAAACATTTATTATAATTTGTTTCTTTATGGGTTTAGTTAAACAGTAATATTTCATCCATTACAAGGATTTGGTGTTATAGATAATCTTATATTTTTTAATGATAAATGTTTTCATTTGGAATTAATGTTGAATAATTTGTTTTTATTCCAGCCGGTCACAAAAAATAATAAAATGATGCAGCACATCAATTACAGAGTGCGAGTCATCTTACAAGATTCTAGAATGTTTATTGGCACATTTAAAGGTAAGCAAATTTACATGTGATATTAGATTGGTTTTACATGTATTCTTTTTTTTTAGCCTTTGATAAGCATATGAATTTGATACTGGCTGATTGTGAAGAGTTTCGTAGATTAAAAAGTAAAGCTAAAATACCAACGATACCTTCTGAACCAAGAGAAGAAAAGCGAGTACTTGGTTTTGTTTTATTACGAGGTCAAAATATTGTATCTATAACTATTGAAGGACCCCCACCACCAGAAGAAGGTCTTCCTAGAGTACCTTTACCAGGTGGAGGTGGTGGCCCAGGATCAAGTCGTGCTGCTGGACGAGGAATGCCTTCTGTTTTACCTTCAGTAGCTACACCAGGTAATATATTTTCAAATTTAAATTTCAGTTATTTAAATTTTGAATTTTTAAGATAAATTTATTTCTGATAATGATCTCAACACATTTAACTGGGCTTTGGTTATCAATTTCTTAAATAATAATTAAAAAAAATATTTTCTTACATTTTTTATTCACTCCATTTAAATTATAATAAACCAAATAAAAATTTAAGTATCAAGTATTCTTTTAAAACTTATTTAAGTCTGATACTCGTGAACATATTGACATATTTTATTTTTTTGATTGTCAATCATGATTTCAATTTGAATATTTAAATTATTTTATTATAACTTTATTAGGCTTACAAGGACCTGTGCGAGGTGTTGGAGGTCCTTCACCTGCTGCTATGGCTCCAACTAGAGGTGCTCCTGCTCAACCTCCAATCAGAGGTCCACCAATGATGGCTCCTCCTCCAGGCATGATGCGTATGTGACATTTAATACATTTTAATAACATTTTTTTTATTAAAACATTTGTTTATACATAAAATTCTGTTTTAGCTGGTATGCCACCAATGCCTGGTATGGGTAGAGGTGGACCGCCACCAATGCCAACTAATAACATGCGTGGACCTCCACCAATGATGAGAGGTAAGTGATTTCTAATATTAATGTAAGGATATTATATCTTATCAATAAATTTTTTAGGTCCGCCTTCTGGTCCAAGAGGTTATTAGTAAGTGGTTCAAATATTTTTGCCTGAAGATTTGATTTAAGTAAATATATAATCATGGTATAAAATTCTACAACTTTATTACCAATTTCACCAAATATTGTATAACTCTTCCCATATTTCATATAAATATTTTAATTCCTGGTAATAAATGCATTTAATGATTATATTGTCCGATTATAATATTTTTACATTGTAATGTATATTACAAGAATAAAGTATGTGTGTAAAACATGAAATTTTACACAACAACGAGTATCTCTTTATTTTGGAGTTTTTTTTTTTAAAAAAAATTTTGGTTAAGTATACATATTTTATTTATAATTGGTTCAACTATTATATACATTTTCAAGTCAATGATTTAATTTTTAGAATTTTTAATTAATTTCTTTTATGTGCATGATAAGCTTTTATTTACTTTCTTTGTTTTGTAAATAAATGAATTTAAGTACTCACATATTTGTTGTAATGTTATTTTTAGAAAATAATTGTTGTTATCTTTAGATTAAATTATTAGTTTAAAAATAAGTATTGCAACAAATTGTAAACATTTATCATAAATAATATTAATATTTCTATGTTAATTTATTTATAACATTTGTAATAATTAATTTAATTTTGATAATTTTCTTTGATAATCTGATATTAAAATAAAAATAGAATAGCCTTACTATAATTTTTTAAATTAGTGTTTATGAACATAGTAACAAATTTTTAGATCAACTGGAAGCTGAATAAAAATTTGATTAGGTATTTTGGCTATTTTAAAAAATATGTATAGTATGAAGTAAACATTTTAAGTATTTCTTAGTTTCATTAAATAATATATTTTTAATTTGCCATAAATGCATTTATTTTTATATACTTAAGACTATGAGTTATAACTATTTAACATTAAACTATTTTTTAACATAATTGATAACTATGATAATTCAGTAAATGACATATTGACCATGTTGTGTTAAAAATGACCAAATATAGGTAAGTAATACTGTAGTAACATTATTATAGTTAATTTTTTTCAACCATTATTACAGAGAAGCATTTAACTATATTTGTCTTAATAATTACATATAAATCTATCAATTCAATAGGTTAAAAGAAAGAATAATAATTAAGATAATAAAGGATTGAAAAATGTAAGAGTAAGAAAAATATGGGTGGAACAGATTCTAGAGAAAACATTTATGGAAAATGTAAAGACAGTTGAAGAGTAAATAAGAAACATAAAGAGGTTATGACTGTAGTAAGAAAAATGTAATTTTATGGAAAACAAAGAATTTTTATAGTGTACATTATTAGGTAGTGTATAATGAAAACGAGATTGGTGGTAATTATGATTTTGTATAATGGTAGTGAACGGAAACATTTGATTGCAAAGGTATGCAAGGAAACATTTTTGAACAATATAAATATCCTAAAAAATTTAATTTAGGATATTTTTAAGATCTATAATATTGAGATCATAAATTATTTAATACTACTAAATAAAAATAGGAAAAAAAAATAATACATGTACACAATTTTCATTCATCAAAAGTCTAAGACTGTAAATGAAACATAAAAGTGTTTACACTTTACTATTCTTGAATTTAGAAAAATATACTTTTTAGTATGGGAAATATACTTATCTACCATTTTTAAATTAAAAAATAAATTAAATTATTAAGGAATTGATTTAATTAGAATTAGTATAAAGATACATGTCTAAAATTAAAAATGGCTTCATTAAAAATTATAACTGCTATTTACATTTATACATTAGGGTACATGAGGGTAAATATATAAATATATTAATAGTGATATGATAATCAGAACTGCTTCTAACTCATTGTATATTTCAGATGAAGGAATCCATAATAAAAAAACTTTTATACCTAATTTATAAAACAAAATATGGTCCTAATATTAAACACCTGCACAGTATCAATAAAATGTATATAAAATAATGTATTATATTTAAACTTTATACTAGGTGTATCTTTTAATTTTAACTAAAATATCGGTTGCAAATGAGGATAATAATTTTATGTTCCTACTAAGTTCCTACTAAGCTTTACAATAGAGTAAAATATAGTTGGAATTTATATTTTGTTAAGTATGGAGGAAGGGGGAGGGATTGTATGCGATGCGAATAGCAAAGGAAAGTCGCCCATCTCATTTTCCGATCGAAAATTTATTTATTTTAAGATTTTTCAAGGAATTTTTAAGTTATAGCAAATTGGCCATGTAAATGAATTTGACAGTATACTCTATGAAGTATGTAATAACATTTAAACAATTGTATTCATACAAATTATAATTAGTATAAATAATTATAAATTTATTTTAATAAATGTTATAACTGTGCATACATTTAGTAGGTATGACATTTATTTAAAAAGTTAATAACTGTAAATTTTAACTATGCATATAACTTATACGTCTTGTCCTATATTTTTATTAGGGAAAAGAAGAAAAAATAAATTCACTTTAAATAGTAATTGAATAAGTTGGGTACACTTGGATAATACGACTATATGTTATCTTAACATCTTCGCATTTAATCGCTGCTTTAACCTCAGAATCATAAAAATTAAAAATAAACATTAAAAGAGAAAATACCCTTTAAATATCGTTTATGTTCACACATTTCTAAATAAATATGAGAAAAATAAATTTCAGAATTAGAATAAACAATAATAAATATGAAGATTGAATAATGTTTAAAATGGTAAATAAATAAAAGCGAAGAAAGAAAAATATTTCAAATGAGTCGTCTAATGCAGCGTTTTTCAATCTATGGGTCGTGACCCAACATTGGGATGCAAACTATTTTGATTGTTTGCTGTTCTTAAACTAATAACAAGAAAAATATCTTAGTAATCAAAATATAGTTATATATATCAAAATTAAATGTTGCTGTATTTTGTTAAAGCATATGATAAAATTCCTTCAAATACAATGATTAATAATATTATTATATTAAAGTGTACTAGGTTTTTTTTTTTTTGAGGATTGTCCACTAATATTGTCACTTAACACAAAGTGTGTTTATAGGTCACCTTAGCATAAAGTTTGGGAAACACTGATCTAATGTACATGTACTCGTATAACAAACCTTTGTACAATACATGGTTTTAAAAATCGTTCTCCGTAGTACATGAATTAAATTAGATTTCCAACATTTTTAGTTTATTCACATATCTATCACATTCGATCAGTAGATAGTAAGTATTGTTATAATTATTTTTATTTTTATTTTTAGTTAAATTAAAATTTGTAAAATCTCAACGAAACTTTGTTAGTGTTATATTTTTTTCTCATTACAAAAATTGTACAAAATTAGATGTAATACGTTATTATACATAATACAACAAAATGAAAATAATAGAAATTTTAAATAATAGTAATAAGTAATGATATTGGTAATAATATGTTATCACAATGAAAGTGGGTAGGTAATATCATAGAACAAATTATTAGCCTGTGGTAATATTAATAGGAAATATAATTGATTGAGATATTTATTTAAAGCGAACGTAAAAGATTAATGATTTTTTTTGGAGAGACGAAAATATGAGAAAAATTAATATTTATTGAACTATTCAATAATTTGATTTTAAGGAAAAGGTATAAAAATAGAAGACGGAATTAAATTTTTTTAAATTGTTGTTAATAGAAGTAATAATGGATTAATTATACCTTTAAAATTATCGAGAAATTTTAAAATCGAATTTTCGGGCGTCGCTAAAGATGTTGTGTTGGCAGTGATATTGGCATATGATTGTTGTTGTTTTTGGTTTGAGCTAAGAGTGACATAACTTATAAGTGGTATGGTGAAATTGAAAGCGGAATAATGATGTAATTTATCTATTTGATATTTATTGTGGTTAATCATAAGTTTTTTATACACTGAATATATTTTATATGAGGTTGTGTGCAGTTCTACACATAGAGGACACTTGGTGGGTTTTGACAGTGATATGGTATATTTCAATGTGTAGTGGTAATCTCCATATTTGACAAAACGAGGAGACTGGTGGTAAAAATTCCTTGAGTGAAGGTAAGCTTGACAATCATGGAATTGTAGAGGAGTGAGTATTTTCTTAGGAACCTATTTTAATTTTGGTGTAAAGAAGTTAAATTCTGATTTGAAAATATTATTATTGTTATTAACAACTATTAAATCGATGTGAAATAAAAGTAATGGGCATTTTATGATACAAATATATACTATTAATTATTCGAATAACTTCGTGACTTATATCTGTTTAACTGGATTGTAAATCTTCAACAGTATGTGGAGATACCTGATGAATATGGTGTATGGTTTCAACTGTTTAGGCAAGTAATTCGATTTGCTCAATGTCGGTTAGGTACTTATAAACTAAATTCTAATTAGTTACGCCATCAGTGCGAATAGACAGGTGTTTTGAAGTATTTTTAAAATATATATCCGACGAATTTATAAGATCAAATAATACCTTTTTGAGAGTGGAAATTTCATATCTTTTACTTAGATAAAAAGAAGGTGCAATAGAAAATTTTCTTAGAGAGAATTTCACGTATATGGGCTGTGTATTGCATTGGTCTTGAGATTATATTGCGAGGAGTGGAGTCGTTCGAGGGCTAAATACTTTCTGATAAATTGCAATGTCCTCTAAGAGAGATTGTGACAAAAACTTTGCTTTTTTTTGTCATTATTATTTTATGAAGATCTTGATGAAGATAGATTGCGTTTAGAAAAAGTTCGAGACATGTTTGGATTTACATTAATTTATATAGACTCATTGGTGAAATATAAAATATGATAGTGGACGAGCGCAATGAATATCTGTTTACGAGTATGTTGTACGATATATGATAATTGCAAATTTTATTTTATTAAAATAAATTAAATGATTGTTTTAGAATTTAATTTACATAATATTATAATGATTGCGTGGCATTCTCTAACGCTTAATAACGTTAACATAACCTGTCCGTTACCGCCTCATAAACATTAAATATTCATACTTACGTTCATCTTAACTGTAACAATTTATTATATTGTTACAATTTTACAATAATTCAAAAATCATACTGTAATTTTTAGAATAAATAGTGCATATTACAGCACTTATACTGGCTTCATTTATTATGGTTGATTGTAATCTTCTAGGAAGTATGATAAAAAATATTTTTGACCTAATCATAAAAGCTATCTAAACCCATAGACAACTGGAATTCCTTTTGTACCATTCATGGAATTTAAAAATGTTCTTTAATAATTATAATTGTATTT